AACAAGGGGCACTGACTTTGAATCTTCTAAGATTCAATACACTTGTACCAAAGAAATTAATGTGCAGTCATACTCGAGAAAAAAGAGAAAGCAAACAGTAAATCTCTAAAAATATTATTGACTAATGTTACGTGACAGGAACAAGTGTACAATCTATAAAGAAAGACTTCTGCACATGTCCCTCTCTTTTTATCTTTTCTATCTGTACAGTGTTGGGTTAACTCAAGCCTTAACGATAGAGTGTGAAGCACACAAAGCTAATGTGTCAATGGCAAGGGCCAATGCTCTCTCCTGGTTGATGCTTCTAAATTCTAACGAGTGGTGCTACCAGCAAACTGTTTTCCTTATACACCTTAGCTCTTTACGATCAAGCTTGTACATTAGCCTGTAAGTGACCCTTAATCATCAAGTAATCTGGAAACTTTGGAAGTCCAAGTTGAACTCGAGGATAAAATGGGAGAAAGTCAAATGAGATGGTTTGGCCACATCCTGCACAGGTCAACATGTGTCATCATGAGATTATTGAAGGGGCTAAAGGAGACCAAATAGAACTAAAATCATATGGATGGAAATATTATCTACATGATCATCAGTGCATATTAGAAACCAGTGAGAAGAATCCAGAGGCAACATGTTTAAGTTGAATTGGGAAATGGTGTGAAGATCAAATTTTGGTAGGAATTACAGGTATGTCATAACTTATCCAGTTTCAAATCACGATCTAATGCACAATTACCTATTGTCTAGAAAATAATAGGTGGAGATAACATCAATAGGAGAGTCAAGACTGGAAATTGGAGAGGCTAACTTGTTGCTGACAACTGAACTAAGAAAACAGGATAATTGAAAAGGAAGAGTAAGTGACACACAAAAGGGGTTTATTCTATACGGGTGTTACTATATATAAACCAGAGGAAAGAGTCTTGACAACTAATTTGAAAACATAAGGTTCCTCTAGAAGTATTTTGTACAGCACAAATGAAGCATGTATCACACCTGAGAAGAGGGAAACGGATTTGAAAAATAGGTAACAACTGTGAGAGAAGGATATGTAGGACAGAATCTCCTTTTCCTACACTCAGAGATGAGTACTGACATACAGAATATGTTTTGTAAATTTACCTGGGATCAATGGTAATGCCGAATTCTTTAGAGATACATATTGTAGTTAACAGGAAGAGAGCCACAGAACTCTCTGCGAAAGGTTTGTTACATTCCATAATGGATTATATTGGCCCTTATTGAGGGAAAGGAACTGGAGGTGTTTTGAGGGAGTTTCTCTTGTTAATCACATTATGCATCTTGATGTTTGGTGTAGTTTGAATAATGTTAATGCTTTGGTGGACTTCATATGCTCCCTACAACTTTAAAATATGGGTTAAAATTTGTATATTTATTTTGTCTACAAGGTTCTCCTTGGTGCTGGAACTCTAATAAGGTATTTTCCTAAGTGAACTTAGAGTTCCACTCAACGTCTCAACAACAACATACCTAGTGTAGTCACACAAATTTTAGTGGAGGGTAGAGCGTAACCAGACCTAATCTCTACCTCAGAGGTAGAGCGATTGTTTCCAATAGACCCGGTGTCAAGATAAAAACAGTCTAGAAAAAAAAGAAGTAATGGAAATAAAAGGAACAACAGACAGTAATATAACACAGGTTGTAGCAGAACAATACTACAACAAAATAATGTTATAATCAAACTACACGGAACAACATATAATAACAGAAATTGAAGAACAAGAAACAGGAGTAATACTACGACGAGTAGTATGGACAATAAGTCCATACACTCCTACCTACTACCATTCTACCCTAATCCGTGTCGTCCACACCTTACTATCTAAGATCATGTCCTCGGTGAACTCCAACTATGTCATGTCGTATCTAATCATCTCTCTCCAATACTTTGTTGGTCTACTTCTACCTCTCACAGATCAATCCAGACAACCGCTCACACATCCGCACTTGCTATCCCTGCATCTATTCATCACGAGCCCAAACTATCTCAACTTTGCTTCCCAAATTTTGCCTTTCACCGAAGACACTCCCATCATATTCCAAAAAAAAAAAAGTACTAAAAAAGATTCATACGACGTTATTGAGAGTCAATACTAGATTTATACCACTTCTAATTTCACATGGTCAAAATGAAAATGAAAAATCAATTCTTTAGATGTCCCATTTTACCAGCAAACTTAGCACCAACTCCTGTAAGCGCGCGAATGAGTAAGGGAGACTTACACAGAGGAAATAGTACAGACCCACTGTAGATTTCTAGGAGTAAGAGCAGCAGCAGAACAAACCACTCCTCCACGTCTCTTCATATTCATCTCTCCACTTACATCAATTGAAACTCTGTAAAAGAAACAATCAAAACCCCATGAGGATAAGATAAAAAAATTAGGGAAATACGCCCCAAAACACGTGCAAAAATGGGATTTTGATAGACCAAATTTGAAATGAGGTTCATATATCCAAATCAATCAAACAACAAACCTGAGAGGGTTATATCCAAGAAAACTAGAGCTTTGCTGCAATTTGTGCTGAGAAATCCTAGTGTGATGAGATTGAGGAGATCTCAAAGCGCATAGTTGTTTATTGTAGGAAGCAAAACGATGTATAGGATAAGAAAGAGAAAGAGAAAGGGACATCATTCTATATCTTTGTTTTAAAATTCCTCTACTGTTTAACTTATACGCCGGCGAATGAAGATAAAGAAAGTGGAAATCAGAGATGGGTCGCCTGAGAAATCAGAGTTAAAGACAATAATGGTGAAGAAGGAGAGTGAGAAGTGACAGTATAAAGTGAAGGGTTGATTCATACGTACAAGAAATAGTGTGCCATTTGTCGAACGAAGAGCGACAACAATAATTGTGCCTCGTTTGGATTATTGAATCATTGGAGTATTCCCTTTATAGAATCGAACCATTAGTAAATCATCTCAACTATTAATAGTATCCGTTAAAGTTCAAAGTGACTCTTGAGTTTTCATATAAACCATTAATAATTTTTTTATATATTTTTAGTCTTACTTTAAAATTTTATCTATCTTTTAGCATTGATTTTATCCATAACTCATGTATGGGATGTTCAATTGAATTTTATATATTTAGTAGAAATAACAACTCCATATAAAAGAATGGGAGAAGAAAAAACCTGTGTTTTATTTAGTAAAAATTATATTACAGATAAAGTCAAGAGGTTTATCATGTGTTTTATTTAGTAAAAATTATATTACAGATAAAGTCAAGAGGTTTATCACGATAATTTCGCGTGTTGTACAATATCTTTTTTCTTGCAAAGTCATTTGTTAAGATTTTTTTAATTTAGTTGCAGTAATATTTCTAGTGAACACAACAAAGTGTTTTTCTTATCACCTTCTCTCAGATAGGGTTATTATTTTTATTTTATATATATATATATAAGACGATTGAACATTTCTTATTTAAAAATTTTGGACAACAATAATACTAAAAAATAGAAAAAAAATTAGGGAATAGACCAAAAATGCACCGATATTAAAAATATGAGGGACTATTAATGTTCCATATGAAAACTCAAAGATCACTTTGAGTCAGGTAGAAAACTATTTTGAGTCTTTCGTTGAACTATTAAAATTTTCTTCCTTAAATCATCTATACCATGGAGGTCGGAGAATCAAGTGTAGCAATAAATAAAAAAAAATATTATCATTTAATAAAAAATAAATTTAAACAAGCCTCTTACTAGCAAAAATAGTCAATTTTTTGTGAAGAACATTTGTTTGTTTGTTTAACTTGACAAAGTTAGAGGGGTGGATGATAATATCCAAACGGGCCCTTGGAAAATCATGAACAAATTCACGTGTTCAGCTCTTAATCCCATGATAGATCCGCCATGGAAGATAGCAGCCGTGAAATTATTATTTTTATATGATATCAAAATTACGTGTAATTTATTCTAATTATATTTTATTTAAATAAATTTATATGTATTAGGGATATGTAACAAATTTTATTTTATTTTCCTTCATCTTGAGCTTGTATATGGTACCCCATGTACATGTCTGATTATGTAATTTTTCCAATTATTTAGGTTAAAAAGATAAATTAATTGCTTGTGGCCTACTTCAATATTTGGGCCTAAACCGGTAAAATCAAGCCCAGAAATTGCTGAAGGCCCAATTAAAGAGAAAACTAAATGGCTGAGTGCACAAATAACCATTTTTGACAAAAAATATCTGAATTTTATAAAGTTTTAAATTTTAGCCACTTAGTCATACATGTCTAATATCTGAATTTAAGCTCCACACTAACTTTAGAATTTAGATCAGGAAAGTCTAAATTACTGTTAATTTTAACGTGCAATTTAATAGTCAAAATGGAGTAGTGATTTTGAGATATTGGATAGAACTAAGTAATATTTTAGTAGGTAAATTAACACCATAAAAAACAATTTGTTACGAATTATATTTTGTATTTAAATGTGATCCATAAAAAATTGTTTCAAAATACATCGGGGTGAAATTAATTTTTGTTTGGTTTCTAGTTCGTGATGCTGAATGTTGCGGTTAGTTCTAAATTCATTCAACAAATACCTAAAATTAATACAAACTTTAAATGGATTTTTGGAAGAAGAAAAAAAACTAATAGGTGTCTGCCTTGATTTAATTTTTTTTTTTTGGTGAACCAACAAGTCCAGCAAATCAATTCTATGATTTATGAACATAATTGTTATTGTTTCCTAATTCTAATAATTACCTTTGACAGCTATTATACATGTTAGACTGTTTGGTTATGATTATTCCCTCTAAATAAAATATTTCTAGACTATAGTTTTTTAAAATAAATAAATAAATAAATTATCTTGTAGCTGCCCTCTTGATGTTGACTTTAGAATTCAATTCCTTGGGTGACCTATACCTACTTTTATGATTCCAAATTTCCAATTCGATTTTGTGATTATAGTAAATAATCATTCAATTTTATAATTTTATTTTCTACTAAAGGACAATAAAATTGGAATAAGTCATTTAAATTGCATAAAATTGGATATACAAAAGGTAAACATGGTTAATGAATTTCAATTAGATTCTGTATAATAACAAAAAGGAAATTATGTACTACTCCTAAGTCCTATGTATAATTGTATATATATAATTAGGGCTAAATTAGTCCCAAATCAGATCAGATCTGCTTGATTGATATAAACAAAGTGTTAATCCAGTCACTTCCCATCCATCTTCAACAAATTTTTTTCTATAATTCTTCGATAATTCTTTTAAATTCGTCTGTTTGATATAAACACCTCGATCTGGATCTGCCCAGCCCTTCTTAGATCTCAGATCTGAGATCTCAATTGCGAGCGAGAGATTACACTGAATATGTTTCTCTGAAACAATTTCCCCTTCACTCACAAATGTTCTGCAAAAAGATGCTACATAAACTGTTGTTGTTGTTGCTGCTGTATTTTCTGGTTCTGTCAGGTGAAATGCATTCAACCATAGCTTTTCTCTTTAGAGAATTAGGTTTCTCCCTCATTAAATGAGGCTTAATTCTGTTAACATCTGATTGTTGAACTGGCTTCAGAAAAAACTCTTCAGCTCCTTCTTCTAAACATCTATTAATCCTTGATGGAACATTTTCCGATGACATAATTATAACTGGAATATCCTTCAAATAAGATGATCCTTTAACTTTCCTCAATAAATCATAACCAGTCATTTCCGGCATACTATAATCTGTAATTATCAAATTCACTCCCGTTTCTCTTACTTCAAGCAACTCCAAAGCTTTACTTCCAGAATCAACAACAGTAACTGTTAATTAAAAAATAAACATATTAGAAAAAAAAAAACAGATGATTTTCGTTGAAAAAAGAATTTTGAATTCACTTAATTACCTTGATAAGATGAAGTTTTGAGAAGTCTTTCAATGAGTTTTCTATCAATAATACTGTCATCAACAGCTAAAACATGAAATTGAGTATCCATTGTTTGATTGTAAGAAGAATTTCTTTTTATGAATTTGTATTTGTTTTTATGAATTTGTGAGTTTGTGAAGTGAATTATATATATATGGGGGATGTGATGTTGATTTCGAGAAGATACGGAAAATATTTGACAGAAGAGAAAGAGAGATACGAATGAAGATATCAAATCAGAATCTTAAGGATTTTCTATGTTGATTTTCTTTGATTTTACAAATCTTTGAGACTTTGTTTATGAAAATGACTCTTTGAGAAGGCAAAGGCTGGATTCAGTGCACAGTGGATCCCACCATTTTGATTTTTCTGTTTTTAAAATATTATGTAAGAGGTGTACCATGCACATGATATCTGATATCCGTTTTCTCGTTCGTTTTAATTCATGTGATTGTATTTGATTTAATATAAAAGAAAAGTTTATTATTGTAATATGATTTATAAATATTTATTATTTATTTTAAGGAGAAGTATCAACAACACCATTAAATTTAATGTATATTATTAGTTTGTGTCTAAACTATTAACCGTCTTAAAAATACTTTTCTACTTGACTAACTAAACTTAGATACATCTCTGATCACTCTCGATATGTCACAATATTAGGAGTGTATTTAGTTTCAGATAGTCAAGTGAATGAAGTATGTTTTCAATATTTTCCTTTTTAAAGTTTTGTCGTTATTAAATATTAAGATATGTCACTTTTTAAAAATTAAAGAAAAATATGTCACATATATTTAAATAGAGGAGTATCTATGAATTTTCTCCATTTTATATTAATTATCATGTTTCATTTCCCGAGAGTTATTTTATATATGTTTTGAATAACTAAATATTAATTTCAAAATATTGAGTTGATATTAGTTATCATGTTTCATTCCTGAGAGTGATTTTACATGAGATTTGAATATCTAAGATCCCGTCTAATTTGACTTTTTTAAAATTGATTTTTAAGAGGACGTGTCTTTGTTATTGTTTTGTTTTTCTAATTTTCCTCCTTTTATTTAATATTTGACAATATTGACTATACTTTTCTTTTGACATTTTGTTATATGAAGTTTCTATGGAAAAAGATTACCATTTCTCTATTGTTGGACCACACGTTTTACAAGTGTAATCTAATAGCAAGTCAATTTTGAAAAAATTGTAGGTAGTATCTTTTATTCAGATCTTCTCTTTTGCATTTAGTCAAATAGTGATGAATTTTCTTGTGTTCCTATCTGTTTATACCAAAAAAATATAAGTGGTAAGCAAATATATACCAATAACAAATATTATTACACATAATTATACTATTTTCAAATCGAAAATAGAATTAGACGTAATCACTATTATTACATAAACAATGTAAATTAACTTTATATTATGGATTTATGAACAACTTCCCTTGAAATCCAAGAAAAAATCATGCATATTTACTAGTATTCTTCATATATAAATTTACAAATTTTGTTTTTAAATTGCTTTGTTTGTTTCACTAAACAAAAAAAAAATCGACTAAGACCATCTTCAACCCACCTCTGTTTTACTCTCATTTCTCAATGATTGGAGAGTAAAATAGAGAATGGACACTTCAAACCTTTTTTATTTCCACACTCTATATTTCACTTTTTTAATATTTTATTATTATTATTTTAAAATACATTATTTAATATATACTACTTTAATCCCCAATTAAAATATTTTAATTTTCGTCATTGATATAATTTAATTTAATTATTAATTTTCACATTAATAATGCACAAAATTTAAATGATAAGATGAAAAAAATTAATTTAAAAATACGATACATAACATAATAATTTAAATACAAGATAAAACATAATACAATACACAACATAATAATTACTTTATCACAATAATATTTTAGTAATCTGGTAGGTCTTTTTTTTTAAATTTAGCACAATCAAAAAAAATTAGGTTATAATGGTAGATGAAATTTTCGATTTGAATAATTTTTAGCTAGACATAAAAATTTAAGGAAAAAAACATTCATTTTGAACTCCGTAATGCATTAATAGAACATTAACGAGAATAATATAATAATTTTAAAAGTTGAATGTTTATGTAATTGTGTTCTACTTTTATCTGAATTTGTTTATTAATTTGTATATTATATAATATTCTCTTGTGATTTGTTTACAGATTTAAAATTGCTATAATTTATATAAAATATAACTTTGAAAAAATAAAATTTTATCACATGAAAATTATCTAAAGTAATTAGTTGGAAAAAAAGAAAGAATATATTTATATTACGAAATAAGAAAATAAGATTGAAATAAAAATATTAATATAATATTAAAAAAAAAAATATTGTTGAATTGAGTTAGTTATCTGAAAAAATAGACAACTCTATATTTGTAGATTGAAATAAAATTTAAGAAAAAAAAAAAAACATAAAAAGCCTCTATATTCACATGACCTACCAGAAATATATAGAAAGAAAGATAAAATGAAATTACAAATGCGATGTTAAAATTAAATCAATTTTGTTTCAATTTTAAAAAAATTTATTCTATAATTCAAAATAGGCATAATACATAAATGTGTCTCTTAACTTGACTTTAAATTACATTTATACCCTTCAACTTTGGATGTGCACAAATAAACACCTAAAATTGTATAAAGCTGAACAAATAGACACACATGTCCTACATGTCATTTTTTGTCTTATATGGTGTCTTACGTGTATTGTGTCATGTAGAACTCATGTGTTATTTATTTAAAAGTTGGATATTTAAAGTGTTTGTTTGTGTATTATGAAAATTAAAAGTTAAAGTTAAAATTTGAAGCAAAATTTAAGATCAAATATATGTATTATGCCTTTAAAATAACTAAATTTAATATGTAAAAATTAAATAATATGACATAAATTAATTCGAGGCGAATAATAAACAATAACTTATTTTTATAATTCTCACATAGAGATAAGTAGTTTTAAAGAAACACATCATCAAGAGATCAATGGTGCTAGAATTTGTCTCCCTTCATCATTGATATAAGAGGCACATGCATAAACAGCTCTACCCTACATTTATTTCAAATCATACGTACTCTGGACCATTTTGATGTGATGATACTAATAATTCAATCCATTGCACATACGATCGAATAAATTTCGTTACAAGAAAATATACTTATTTTGCGGAAAATAAAAATTGTTATCAATATTCGTTATAAAAGAGATCGAAAATTGAATCTCACCTGATCCTCTCTCAATTGGTTGAGTTATTTCAGAGGTATTGTCTAAGTTGGTACATGGGATGTGGTAGCTCGAGGGAATGTAAATGATTTCTCCTATTTGATGAATTTTCAATTGAATTCGTCGCACCTAACTTACTTAGTATTATGATTCATAATTTTAGTGTGATGTACCATCTTTTGTTTTAAAAGTATACACATTACTCGTTGCATAATCTTATTCAAAGCATAGAGGTTAGAGTTCACCTAGAACAAACTACTACTTATATTCATTTTTTACTTCTTTATTATTTTAATTTTTTTTACTAGTTAATGTTTACTTATGTCCACCAGACCTTTTGCCAAAAAGATAATAATAAATGATTTACACTCAATATTAATTACTTACTTCTCAAATATTTTTCAAAACTTAAAATTATTTATCAATTAATATGGGGGTCGCTGCGCAAAAATATTCATATTATTTCTCCCTTTATTTCATATTAAGTAAACTTGTGAGACAATACACCGCTCATTAATAAAAACATCCTATAATTATAATTTAAACTATATATTTCACTATTAAGCTTTTGTTTATTTTCAAGTTATTCTTAAAATAAAGATAGTCATTATTTGAAAATGTACACTTCATTAAAGAAAATAACAAATATGAAGAAAAAAATCAAAGATTTCTCTTGAATTTTCAACAAACCAACCAAAAATAACTTATTTTTTATTCTTTTTTATAACTCAAAAATCACTTAGTTATTATTTACTTACCAATCATTCAGCTATTTTAAGTGATTTTCCATTTACTTTTGTTGACATGCAGAAACTTTTATTTTAAGTCATTTAAAAAAAAAAGAGAGAGAAAAAACTACCCATTTAAATCATTTAATTGACCCTCATCATTTAACCTGACCCAATTCATATAATATAAAATGATTAATTTTAAACAATTTCTAAAACAGGGACAAAAAATAAATATTGGTGAAAAAAAATTCTACTAGTGCAATCCCAAATTTTTTTGGGGTCAACGTTTAATACCTCGTGTTTTTCATCCTCTTTTTTTAAAAAAATAAAAATAAATAAATCATACTAAACATTCATGAAAATTTTGAAGCAGGTGCTATTAAAATTAAAATTGGATGAATGTCTAGAAAATGATGCCACGTGTTCCTTCGTTCAGGTTAAGAATATATACAATCTAAAATATTGACTGCAGGAATATATTCATACGTAAAATATAAGAAAGAATATACTGTATAAATATATTATTCGTAATATTTTAGGGGTATATTAATTTTTTTCGAAATAATCAAACAAGATAAAAATATTATAATAATTATAACATTTACATTTTAAGCCTATAATATTATAACACTATATTATTTCTTTTTTAAAAAATAATATTACACTTGATCGATTTAATATTGACATTTATACTTGACATATTTATCTTGATGAAATAATTATATAAGTTATAGAAAAAAATTGAGTGTAAATTAGGGGGCGTAAATTATAATTACTTTCCTCATTGGAGATGAGAAATTAGTATATATTTACGTGATGTAATTATGAGATAATTTTTTAAAAAAAATTTCGTCTTGTTTTAATATATTTTTTTTTTACTTTTTTTTTTCATTTTAGATTATTTCTCTCTCCTTTCCTCATATATCAAATCTAGCTTCTTTTTTTTTTCATTTTAGATTGTTTATCTCTCTTTTTCTTAATTCACATTTTTTAATCTTTTACTTTTTATGATTCAATGTGATCGTTCGTATTTTTTTATTTTTGTCATTTAACATAACTGCATTATTATTCTAATAATTGAATTAAAATATATTTTTATTACTAAACGATATTATATATTTATATTTTTTTTCTCTTTTGAATTATATTTATTTAAGTTACAACAAATTTTATTTTATTTCATATTGAAATTTGAATAAGGTTATTATGTTACTTTTTTTGAATTAATATTTTTATTTATTTTATTAGTATTGAC